GTGTCGTCTCTTCCTTGGCTAATTTATGTGCCCAGAGAATATGCGTCTACTCTGACCTCACCTGCTAACTTGCAAAGTGGCTTTTCGATTCCCAGAAGTTCAGTGCTGTGTGCAGAATGGCCTTTGTGACTTAGAGGTGGATAAACAAGTTGGTTTTTTTCACTCCCATGTTAAGCCTCTGCTCAGCACTTTCTTGAGACTCTGCCTAAAAGTCTAAGATAACTACAGATGTAACTGATAGGTTTTCTCTGTTCTTTCTTAAATAATCACCTTTTTGGTGGCTGTGTTTTTTCATAACTTAGAACCACTCAGTAAGTTAAGTGAGTGTGTGGGGGTAAATGAAATCTCATTCATGGAAATGAACTTGAAACATTGAAATATTAAATCGATGACACGTGTAGCTAGACAAAAACACTCTGCAAACCAACTAAAGTTTTGAGCTTCTCATTGAATAGATCCATTTCATTTTAACTGTGCTTTTCACGTCAGCAATGCAACTTAATCCAAATGCCTGAATGATCCTTCCTCCTGGGTGTGTTGCAAACTGTATCAAGTTTCTGATACCCAGACCAGAATACTCAAGAATCTCCAAACACAGTTCTTTTATGCTCTCCATGACCTGTGCTATGTCATTTCATTTAATACATATATTTATATTCAGAAAATGTAGCTATATATGCTGTGACTCCTTGGAAGACCTGAAGATCTGATGACCCCTACAACCTAAACAGGCACTAAACACTGCTATGTTGTAGCGTGCAGGATCTGCAGTGACAGGCAAGTCCCAGGTTATCTTTTGTGACCAAGGTCACATACATTTTGACCTTTGTCCCATATATTGGCTATGCTTCATGCCAAATTTGGGGCTCTGAAGGTCAGCTCCATCCCCTGGTCAGCCTCAGGACCATATCACAGGATGATGAAGCCAAGACATACGTCAGGACCACCAGTTCTCATACTGTTGGCTCTGCACACTCATGCTACACCGTTTAAATAAAACACAGACATTCATCCCCTCTTCCCAGGAGTTGAACTTCTGCAGCTGGTGGAGACTCCCTGCATGTGTTCTGGGAAGAGCTCATGGACATAAGAATTCATTCTGTGGAGCATAACCAGGTTTTTAGCCTCCGTCCCACACACAGCTACACGTGCTGTGGTAGGGGAGAGGCCAAGGACATTGTCTGGAAAGGTGTAGGGCCAAGCACAGAGTCCCCGGGCTGCGTCCTGGACCCACGCTAATCATTCCACCCCCAACTAATTGTGGGATAATGTGTTCCCTTCTTCATAGGCAAAGCAGGTTATGGAAATTATTTTGTAAAAAGTACCAGGGAGTGTTGCCAAGCTCAATTTTGGTTCGTTTTACCATCTATTATTAATACATTATCACATAATGATTGTATGGTCTGATCTTTCCCTCATGCACACTATGGTGGTTTTTCTCTGCTTGTGTGTGTGTAGACAGTGTAACTGGATCATGGTTCATGCTGAGCTTAAAATTTGATCTTCTGAATAGCAGCAGAAAGACTCTTTCTGGTGAATGCAGGTCTTCTGAGCAATTATCGACTGACGTTGTCATTAGACACCCCTTTCAGAAGGTACAAAAAAAGAAAAAGAAAATTACTATTGTGAAGTGAAGTCTGAGCAACTGGGAAGAAATGCCAAGATGAAATGAAATGCTAAAGGTAAATGAATGGGAAGAACCTGGGGAGATGGTAACCACGTTAATCATAGCAAACTGGGATGAAAAGACAGAGAATAACACAATATAGAGACTTTTTTTAATTGTTAGAGGAAAAGATAGGTCCAATAGCATGAGTAGAGGCTTTGAAAAGTAAAGAGAGCTCAAAAGGGACGAAATTCTCAAAGCATTCTAATTGTACAATCCTAGCTCACCTTCACAAGAGGACGGTTTAAGAAATGGGCAGCAGGGGGGGGCTTGCTGTCTGTTTTTAGGAAGATTTTGGCCAAAAAAGGAAGTGTCAGTGCAAAAACAAGAGTCAGTTTTTACAGACACATGAGGGGTAGTGTTTTCCAAAAAGACCGAAAGGTGACACAATTTTATTCACTTTTGTAACTCTAGCACCCACTATAAGGGCTAGGTCCCCCAAATGTCTTCCGTCGATTCTGTTGTTTGGAGAATTTGCTCCCAGGTTCGTATGAGAAGGTATAGCTGACATTATATGGTATCTGGGATTTGCTTCGAAACAATCCAGGGAGGAGAAAGACGGGGTGAGGGTAATGATGAAATAAGATTGACCACAATTTGATATATTTACACTGGGTGATAAATACTAGGGCATTCATCGCTATATTATATTTACTCTTGTATGTTTGAAATTTTCCGAAATAAAAATAAAAATAAAACCAGGTCTCTCAATTTAAAATAAAATGTTGTAGTTTGCCAAAAAAAAAAAAAAAAAAAAAAAAAAAAAAAAATCTCCTTAAAAATAAAAAAATGCAGATATTTAAAAAAAAAACTCACAGGAACAGAAACAGTGAAACCCTTAGGAAAAGGCAAATTGAATTGAAACACAAGTGACACATTTGATTTGCAGTGGAGCGAAGGGGCAAATCTGAGACTCTGGAAAGTTATTCCGGTGCTTTATTTTATGGCTGACTTTCAGTCAAAGGGCATGGATGTCAGAGGGAGCTCAGTGTTTTCTGGGTTGCTACATGAGAACCAATCAACCAAAGTTATACAACGGTATATGTTTACTGAAAATAAAAACACGTTTTCTTCAATTGGAGCTATGCAACTGTACAACGGGCTGTTCTCAAGGTTTTAGACAGACCAGGTGTGGATGAATACACTAGTAGAAGCTTGACGGCCACCTGACAGGGATGCTGCAAACAGAATTTCTGTATCACTGGGAGGCTGAACTAAAAGACCTTGAAACTCCCTTCCCACTGGATGATCCCCTAATTCTGCAATGAGATGATCCTTCCTGTTTAGGCACATAACTCGTAACTCTTGCAGGAGGCATGCCATTTGTCACACATCATGAGCACTTGATTTGAAAGAAAAAGAAAACTTGATTTTCAAGTAAAAACTAATATAGTCCTTCACCAGCTAAAACTTAAAGACTCAAATTATTAATGCTAAATAACTAGTTTTAGTAAATTGGGCTTTAATCCATGTGAATCGAATTCCTAGAAAGTGTAAGGTGTTTGGATGGTAAAGGAGGCCAGGGCCTTTGCAAGTGCTGAGTGCTTGGATGGGTTTGGTGCCCCGAGCCTCTCTCCTCCCTTTCCTGGGAGCTGCCCATGATGTGCTGCTCTTGAATTGTTCTTCTGGCATGGAGAACAGCTGCAAAGGTTTGGACACCCACCTTGCAGAGCCATTTTTTAACTTAAAGCAACATGTCACCAATCCCAGTGATTTTTCCTTAAGCTTTATTTCTAACTGCAGTACCAAGATTTATTTTTCTAAAAAAAAAAAAAAAAAGAGAAAAGAAAAAAAGAAAAAGAATTGTTATGTCAGCGAACAAATGGGCTGAGGGTTGAGGTGAGCATTCTGAAATGACACAGTATAACCAGTGCAGCTATTCTGGTGATTCCAGAGGGAAACTAAGCCCAGTTTGGTCTATATCAGGGTAGTATCTCATGGTCTCAGACTGAAGGTGCCCACTCTTCAGGACCTTAGTTAGCCTTGCTATAAATGATTGGGAAGGATATGGTGCTAGCCCTCCAAAGATCTGGAAGGGACTCCATTCTGTCCCATGATATTATTACCCTTTCTCTGTTTCTTCTCCAGTTGTCAGTGACATGAATCTTTGCTCCCTTCTTCGTGGAATATTTCTGATCTAATAGCCCCTACATTTCAAAAGATGGATATAAACATCATATGAGTATTACAGGAAAGCTGGATTGCTCTGTAGTGAGTGAAATATGGAAAGGCCTTTCCCACCAAGCAATAGGCCAAATTGTAACAGTAAGACGTATTTGAAATAGAATGGTTCATAGATCAGAGATGATGCTGCCTTTTTTAAAGCGTGAAAATATTCCTTCTGCAGAATAAGACTCAAAAGAGGAACAAGAATAATTTGATATTTATTATGTTATGATCTGCTTTAATAATTACATATATGAATAGTGTGTGTGTATATATATGTATAGATGATACAGCAATATGATTCTTTAAAAGGCTACATATTTAATGTGCTTTCACTCTTAGCTCAGAGCAAAGCTGGTTTGTTCCTGCAGACAAATCATCCCCAGCTCTGGAGTTCTATAGAGTTGACTTTAAATAGTCACTTGGTCTCAGATTTTGCTGGATTTCCAGTGTGATAGATGAAAGGATGTTGCACTTGTTACTCAACTACATCTCCTCTTTTCCATTTCAGGCCATACATTTCCATTAATTAATGCACACTGTCATTAGCTCAGTCTTCCATCTTCTTTAATCATTTCAGCACCTGATTCACAATTTTACTTCCCACACCACCTCTGACCACATCCTTGTACTGGTCACGTTTTAGTTTTCTGGCACCTTACCACTTAACACGTAGCACCCTGTGTTTGTAAATATATTTTTATCTCCCTGCACATCGAAGTACAACTTGGCATTTCCCATACAGAAACCATAATGACACACTGCAAATAACTCAAGCTTCACAAATATTTGCTCTGACCCAATGTGTGGCAGGGCAATTTTAATCCTAGATTCACCATCCTTACCATTCCCATCACCTTTAATCCTCTCTAGAGTCCAGCATCTACCAAAGCTGTGCTAGTGAAATGTAATCAGGCTGAGAAGAAAATGCACTTTTATTTTAGGAAAATTCATGAGAAATTGGCAGGAAGTTAACCTGAGTGCGACACGTCTGCTCATCCCTTTGTCTCTCCCACAGAGGCCAGATCACTATGAGGGTTCTGCTGTTCTTGCCAGCCTTCAAGCAATCAACGGCTCTTGTCCAGCAGTGGCTCAAACTCCTGGCCATGCACCCCAGGGACAGAAGCCAGTGGAGGAAGCAGTGATTGTTATTTACTTTTCTTGGCAGGTGGTGACCAGATGGGTATAAATGGGCTGTGGAAAAAGAGAATTCATGGCCAAAAATGGTGGTGCTCTCTGTCCAAAAACTAAGGCCCTATGACCGTGAATGAAGCTGGAGGACAGGTAGGAACAGGTAATGGAAGTTATTTCCGAATCTGTTCCCTTTTAGACTTTGAATGTTTTGAGTGTTTCATTAAATAGTGTTACAAGTCCACTAAGATTCCACATAAACGTTTAGCCAGCCAACAGTTAAGTCTGTACCTCCCAAGGCAAGTGATGAATGTTGAGATTATAATTGTGAATGGTACAATCTCAAGGTCTAGATGAAGTACAACGTTGAACAGAAAAGGACTGAAAAAGCAAAAGAAGACATTTCCAGAAGAAGGTGCCAAAGTAGGGCTCCAGGCCAATTTGTTGAAGGCCAATTTGTTAAAATTAACTTGATGAATGACCAATTTACTGACTCATTGAGGGTTTTTGCTTATGTTTTAATTTAATTCTTACTCCTGCTTGTGAACATGACTCTGCCCCTGTAACAAAATAGTCGGGGCCAGCTTCAGAGACAGGGACAGGGAAAGTATAGGGTGAAGATGAAAAGAAAACCTTCTAAATATCCTTACAATTTCACAAATTAGAAATTTGACAAATTGTTTTTCAGTCAATTGACTTGCTTCCCCAAAGCACAGCTATCTTCTAATTGTCCCTGATTTCTAGCACAGGTTCCTGCTGCTTTCACATGCAGTTAAAATAAAGAGGGATGACATTCCCAAGAGCACACACATATGCACACCACAAGGTGACATGTGCACACCTGTATCCACAACCCCCTTCCTGGGTTTCTGTCCAAGGTAAAGAAAACCTTCTCAAAAGTCATCCCTTTCCTTCATGCTACAATCTTGCCTTATGTTAGGCTACCTTGGGAAAAAAACATCACCAGAATTCTGGTGCTCAGACTTTCAGAGCATGGTAGGTCTTTTAGTCATCATAATTGAGTAATCAAATTGAAGACTAATCCAACTTGGATCTCCTCTCTAATTTTCTTGGCTGTAAATCTATTCAGGCTGCTGTTAAAAAAAAAAAGCAAAAACAAAAAAAACATACATTGGGTGGCTTATAAACAACAGAAAGTTATTTCTCACGGATCTGGAGGCTGGGAAGTTTAAAATGAAGGTGCTGGCAGAATTGATGTCAGGTGAGGGCTCACTTCCTGGTTCATAGACAGCTGTCTTCTCACTGTGTCCTCAGCCAGTAGCTGGCAAGGGAGCACTGGGGGGCCTCTTTCAGAAGGGCACTAATCCCATGCATGGGGGCTCCACTCTTGTGATCTAATTACTTCCCAGCCTTACCTCCTGATACCATCACGTTGAAGATTAGATTTCAGCATATGGATTTTCGGAGAACACAAACAGTCCCCTGCAGGTTGGGAGTGCCTATAAAATCATCGGTCTATGCAAGGGACATTGTTTCATCAAGTCTTAAATATTTTCAGTGCTACACTCTGCTGCTACAGTTCCCTGGTTTCTTTAGCTGTTACTTGTATTCTTTGTTGCTTGTATCAAAATTGGAGACCTTCAAAAAGATCCTTAAAGGAGTCTGAAAAATTCAAGAGAAAAAGACACAGGAATACAAATTAGAACAACAGTAAAATACTATTTGCAACCTATAACATTGTCAAAGCCCATGAAAAGGAACTCTGTTGGTATTGGCTCCTAACCATTGGTGAAAACGCAAATTGGCTCAGTGCTTCTGGAATAACATTTGCAAATACATGCTGAGTAGCTTTAAATATCCATTGATCTTCAATTTTTCTTCTAGGGATTTTCCCCAAGGAAATAGAAATGTATGTAAAAGTTATCCTAGTGATGTTTACAATAGAAAAATAGAAAAAATAGTGAAAATAGCTTTAATATCCATCCTTATTAAATTAACTGAATATATGTTGTTACATTTATATGACATATAATAAATACCATGCAAATATTTAAAATTATCAAAATATTTTAAGTAAAGAAAACAATAGATTGTTAATCTATGTATAATACTATAACACTTTCTAGTATAGCATATAGCATGTTAGAAAAAGATCCTTACTTGATATACTAAATTAAATGATAACAATTATTTCTGTTCTTGTGATAGTTTGCTAAGAATGATGGTTTCCAGCTGCATCCATGTCCCTCACTCATAGGTGGGAACTGAACAACGAGATCACTTGGACTCCGGAAGGGGAACATCACACACCCGGGCCTATCATGGGGAGGGGGGAGGGGGGAGGGATTGCATTGGGAGTTATACCTGATGTAAATGACGAGTTGATGGGTGCTGACGAGTTGATGGGTGCAGCACAGCAACATGGCACAAGTATACATATGTAACAAACCTGAACGTTATGCACATGTACCCTAGAACTTAAAGTATAATAATAATAATAAATAAATAAATAAATAAACAAAAAACAATTATTGCTTGGCTAAGAGATTGTACGTTTATGCTTTTTCTTCTAGATCTATATTTTCCAGATTTTTGAGTAAATATGTCTTCAGTGAAGGGAGCCTCGTTTTGAATTCTTATAATTCTTTTAAAAATAATTTCATAATTTTTCTTGTATAATTTTGTTATACAAAATTAAGAAAGCAAAGGGATTAAAAAAGCAGCCTTATTTTCCTACCAGAAAGAATCCCATTGTATCTTTTCTCTCCCTGTTAAGCACACATCTTCTCTAGAATACAGAAATATTCTAGAGATCACTGATGCATTTGAGGGAAATTGAAAACAAAACAAAACACAACAAACAGAAGCCTTAAACAGTAAAATAACAGCAAGCTGAAACTGATTTAAGACAATCAAATAACATCGTTTCCTGTTCATTCTCTAAACACAAGCTTTCTCCCGCTTTGATAGGGACAATGAATCTGGGAAGGGATTGGTGTCCTCTCCTCTTCCCTCCTTCCGTCCCTTTCTCCCTGGCTCCCTTTTAAAAGCAAATTGCACTGAGCACAGCAGGGAAGTCTGATGGGAGGCACTGGTGGGGCTCCCTGCTGCAGGATGAGAGGATGAAACGCACAGCAGGGGAACAGACACAATGAGCATCAAACCCGTAGCACTGGGAAGGCATAGAGGGGCTGTTCAGGAAAGGGTGCCTATGATGACTATTATTATTTAGTCTTAAAAAAAACACCAAAAATCAGGGCAACCCCTTTTGGAAAACAAATAGGAGCACTGAACCAGTGTCACTGGGTTCACAGGCAGCTGCCAGCGCACGCAGCGGCAAGTCAACCAGAAACTCAACTAAGCAGTCTCCAGGATTTCATGGGAAGGATGACGATTCCTGAGAGTCTGTGCTCCCCTCTAGGGAAATGGGCCACTTGGGCCCCAGATGTGCGGGTCTTTTCCGGACTCAGGCCTGCGTCAGCATCCCTGGTCCCGGAGCCTGCGCCCTCATCATTGCATAAGAGTCTGTGCGGCCTCGCAGCTCGCGCGCTTGTCATCGGCGCCCCCTGCTGGACACACAGAGAAATGGCGCCTTCGCAGCCATCTCCTTGCCCCAGGCTGTCTCCACTTTTAGGACGTTATTTTCTCCCTATGCCACCATGAGAGGGAAATTTTCTACAGAGAGGGAAAAGAAAGGAACCTTACCATCGGAGCACAAAGCGTACCCTGGAGCCCCAGCCAATGTATGATTTCCATGGAAGGAAGGGCTGATTCTGAGCAGTTTGTTCACACGGGCTCCAGTCGTGCACCTGCAGGACGGAGAGGCCAGGCGTCAGTCTGACCAGCAGAGAAGGGACCAGATAGGATTTCTCAGTGCGTGGAGGAATGTGAAGGGGCAGGACTTGCAGTCTTCTCATGCTTTTAACTCTACATCCTGTCACAGAAGCAGAAAGACCCGGAGAAGGCCGGGATGTCCTAAATTTCCTTCTTTTCTACTTACTAATTAAACATCCCAGCAAACTGCCTGTCACATCTCTAGAATTGCATCGGCCTCCCTTGAAGTGTAAGCTGTTACCCTCACCTTGCCATACAAATTTTAGAGATATTCAGACCTGCCTCAAAATCTTCTCTGCCCAAGCGTTAGGACTCCTGAGCTGGGGTGGGCAGCAGCCTCACAGTTCCTCAAACCACCATACATGCTCCCTAGACAAAGGTGGAACCATATTCTTGTTCAGCTGAGAGAAAGTTGGTCATGCTACCGTCTTCTCTTTGCTCAGTTTGAGTCAGATGTGCCACATCTCTCGCCTGAGCAGCGGCTAAGTTTGTGGTCAATGGGGATGAGCAGAGATGGAAGGGCTATCAGTCCTGTGCAGGCCAAGGGATCAGGCCTGTTGGGAGGCTCGCGTAATAGCAGTCCCTCTGAAGTGTTCAGGAAAGCCATGCCTTTAAACCTCATCTTCTCATGATTCTCAATCTCAGCTGCACTTTTGAATCACCCAAGGAGCTTTTAAAAATCACTGATGCTGGCTGGGCGTGGTGGCTTACGCTTGTAATCCCAGCACTTTGGGAGGTCGAGGCGAGTGGATCACCTGGGGTCAGGAGTTTGAGACCAGCCTGGCCAATGTGGTGAAACGCCGTCTCTACTAAAAATACAAAAATTAGCCGAGCGTGGTGGCAGGCGCCTGTAATCCCAGTTACTCAAGAGACTGAGGCAAGAGAATCACTTTGACCTGGGAGGCGGAAGTTGCAGTGAGCCGAGATCACACCATTGCACTCCAGCCTGGGGAACAAGAGTGAGCCTTGTCTCAAAAATAAATAAATAAATAAATAAATAAATAAATAAATAAATAAATAGATAAATAAATAAAATTAAATAAAAATCACCGATGCTCAGGCACTGCCCCAGATTCATTCATTTGGAATCTCTGGAGATGGGGCCAGGGCACTGCATCTGTTTTTTGTTTTTTTTTTAAGATTCTCAGATGACTAAAATCGTCAGCCAAGATTGAGAACCACTGCCTGCATTTCTGTCTCCCCAGCTTGTAGGGTGTGACCTTAAACAAAGTAGGAGGTCATTAATGTTCGATGAATGCATGAGTGAGTGAATAGATAAATGAGTGAATGAAGACTGGGAAGGGCAAAAACAGATGAATAATCATTTATGACAAATATGGAAAAAATTGTGATAAATTAATTAATTACTAACTAAAAGTGAACCACATAATAATAACAGTCACCAAACTAGAGGTGGACCACTCAGTGGATAGGCTGAAAGGGATGGGCCAGTATCTAACATTGATAGGAAAAGGCCTCAAAGGGACCTGTGTTTATTGTTGGAATTGGTCTGGTAAAATTCTCCCTTTGGAAGACAGCAGGACAGGGAGGAGGCAGACAGTGAGGAAGTAGTTGAACTCATGTAACTGACTAAGAAGAGGATGGTAGTGTTGCCTGTGTTTCAGGGAGTCAGGCCCACAGAGGCCCCTGCTGTGCACACAGAGCATATGGAACTCAGAGTGCCCTGGGGTGACCAAGGCAGAGACCAAGTTGCCATGTACTTGGAGAAGGTAGGACACAAACCCACTGAAGAGGCTCAGGAACAAGAATACATATGTGAGAAGTCTAGACAAGTCCAGTCTCTCGCCCTAACTAGAAGATGAACTCTTTGAGACCAGAAATAATATCTTTCTCGGACTTTTTCTGAAAAGTTTCTATTTCTCCAAGTATACGGGAAGGGACTGGCTTCTAAAATAAGTGTAAGCAAGAAGGGAACCAACAGAAAAATTAAGGACAGTGTATTAGTCAGGGTTCTCTAGAGGGACAGGAATAATAGGATAGATGTATATATGAAAGGGAGTTTATTAAGGAGTATTGACTCACATGATCACAAGGTGAAGTCCCACAATAGGCCATCTGCAAGCTGAGGAGCAAGGAAGCCAGTCCAAGTCCCCAAACCTCAAAAGTAGGGAAGCTGACAGTACAGCCTTCAGTCTGTGGCTGAAGGCCTGAGAGCCCCTGGCAAACCACTGGTATAAGTCCAACAGTCCAAAAGCTGAAGAACCTGGAGTCTGATGTTCGAGGGCAGAAAGCATCCAGCATGGGAGAAAGATGAAGGCCGGAAGACTCGGTAAGTCAAGTCCTTCCATGTTCCTCTGTCTACTTTTATCCTAACTGCACTGGCAGCTCATTTGACAGTGCCCACCTAGATTGAGGGTGGGTCAGCCTCTCCCAGTGCACTGACTCAAATGTTAATTTCCTTTGGCAACACCCTTACAGACACACCCAGGAACTTTGCATCCTTCAGTCCAATCAAGTTGACACTCAAATATTAACCATCACAGACAGAATGCAAATTCAATGAGTTTGCAAATTGGTATAAGATTCATACAGTGAGAGGCGGCAACCATCTGGGCCAGGATATGGCTGAAGCCAAGTGGTTAAGTCATGCCCAGAAGAAAAATCAGTCACAGGGTAGGACTAGGTTGGCTCTCAAGGAATTGTATCTCCAGGGTTTCAGCTCATCGATTTTCACAAACAACTAATATGGTTTCTTTCTTTATTGTTAGAGTCTCCATATTCAAAATAGAATTAGTAACAGAGTTTCTCTCCAAAGCTGGCACAAAGAAATGTATCTTATTGCCCACTACACAAAGGTTTGCTTTATAATTCTAAAGATTCAAATCTCTCCCTAGCTAATATTTCAAATGCAGCTGGTTTGCTTACTGCTTCGGAATTGTCAGCTAAAAGCCAAAGTGCTGAGAGAGTTATTTTTCTACCCTGGGGGAGGCAGGGGACTTCTGGTGATACTCACACATGTCCTTTAATTTGCCAAAAATTACTAGCTTGGTTCAGCCTAATTATTACATAATTCCTCCATTGTTATAATACAAATTATGAATGCTGATATGACGCGAAGCATCTTCCTTCCCCTAGCATTGGCCTAACCAGGCCCAAGAGACCCAGGGGATGTTGAAAGCACAGTTAGCTTTCTCCCTACTTCCTGGTTACACATCTTTCCTAACTTGCTGGTTACTTTTTAAAAATTCCTCTTGAATTAGGTCCAGAGTGACAGATGAATCTGGAGAAAGAGTGAAGGGTTAGAGGCTGGTACACATGTCATCTAGTACTGGTGCCCTCTAGCCAGCTAGATGGTCAAAGCTCTCCTGTGGGATGTTGTGAATCTTTGGTAGTCCTTGACCAGCAGCTCCCTGGAAGTGGGAAAGGTGTATTGCCTGTCATCTGGCAGTTGGGTGTGATG